AATCCCCCCTAGGGGAGCATTAAGTGGTATCAGAGACCGGTTCTACACAAGGGCAAAGGAGAAGAAGTAATCAATTACTTCGATACAAGCAGAATTCTCGAGCAAAACAGGGCAGCCCCTGTACGTACCTTCACAACTGCTGTTTGTACTTGAAATTCGAGGGAAATTCTGTTCTACGTAAAGAAGATGGTGACGACAGTTCCAAGGCCCAACAACCTCGATTTTCTGGCAAAGAAAAGCCTCCAGCAGTCGTCATCAAGCATAGAGAGTCCGACGAACAGCGAGACAATTTGTTTCACAGTCGATGCTTGGTCGAAGGGAAATTATTATCCCTCGTGATCAATGGAGGCTCCTGTGCAAAAGTCATCAGTCTAAACGCGGTCCAGAAGCTAGGATTAACGACGCAAAGGCATCCAGAGCCTTACCAACTCGGCTGGATAAACGAACACGGTACGATTAATGTCACGGAGCAAGTCGTAGTTCGTTGTCAAATCTGCGGTTACGAAGACGAGGTTAATTGCCACGTGGTGCCAATGAATTGTGTTCATATGATGCTGGAAAGAGCGTGGCAATTTGATCTTGGAGTTTCTCATGATTGTTGAACCATCAAATTCAAATTTCGGCATCACAGCAAGAAGATAGTTATGAAACCTCTTTCACCAGATGAAGTTTTCGCCGATTTGAAGCAAATGGAGGAGAATCGAAACGAGGGAAAGAGCGTTCAAGCTCAGTTGTGGATTTAGCGAAGTGTTGGGTTCAATTACATGGGCTTCAGAAAGCTCCATAATGGAGTTACAGTATCGGAACCCCCTGAGTTCCACAGCCCCTATTTTGCTTTGTCGAAACAGAGTTTCGACCACGACAGCACTGCAGACGATGGGAAGGGAAATCCTGATCTCGGCGAAGTTAGCGTTCATGGAGTGTGTGGAAACGCTGGAGAACCGAGGAGGAGGTCAGGAGCAGGCTGCCGATGGATGACTCGTCCCGGTGATGAGAGCAGCAATCATCTTTTCCGCAAAACAGAGCATGAGAGAGAACGATTTGGGTGGAACAACCAGCGAAGATTCGAACTTTGCCACTTGTGCCGAGACGATCCCCACGACCCCCAACGTTGGAAGATACTTCATTGGAGACGACCAGACCTGGAATTGGAGAATCGATTCACGTAAAACCACCTCTGTTCGTGAAGCAAACAGTCGACGAGGATCCTCTCTTGGGTGGAGCAATCCAACTCGATTCGAGCAAATCTAACGTTGTAGAATCATCACATGAGGTAATAGGAACGTGTAGGATTCAACAATTTGGCTCAAAGATGCTGGGATTGAAAACCCCCAATTCCAAATTCGAAAATCTGGTTTGCGAAAATTTAAATTCGGCCAGCGGCGGGAAAGGGGAAATCGTCGATTTGAAGACGACGAAGATGAATCGAGCTCCTGGGATGAATGGAAGCTTCAATTGGAAGCCTGGAGAAGAGCATGGAGTGGTTCACTTGGACTGGAAATCGTTGATACGAAAATCCCCTATTCTGTTGACCGAACTCAACAACGGAGATGAAGTCCGACGACTTGGAAACAACTGCGGCCTCTTTCCGGGGAAATGGGTCGTAGAGGATGGCTTGTTTCAACCCCAGGAAGTGTTTCCAACATTCTTGCAAGCTTCTAATGTGTTGAAACAGATTGAAGGAGGATTTGAAGCCGCAATTTTTCTGTCGAAAAAGATGATCGAGCAGCCCTCTTTCTATCCAATTTGGGATCAATTCTGTGTACGGTTTGAGCAAATAAAGGCCAAAGTGTTGAGGGCAACACTTTTTCAAGAGGGAGGGTCTGATATGATCCCAAATAGTCAATTATACACGTTTAATTTACTTGGCGAAGAAACTATCGAAGTTGGGAAGAAGAAGGACAGAATTTGGCTAAGTCAAAATTCGTGTTCATGGTACCAACTTTGGAGACATGGTTCTCCCAATTGGCTTGGTGGAAATTCAAGGTTAAGGGTTTCTTTTAAATATGAAGTTTCCATCTTTCCAATAGTATGCTCTTTGGATCCATACAAACTCATTAAGGTTGTTTTCCAAGGCCTCAAAGTTGCTACCTCAAAACTTGAAATTAGGAATGTGAAGCCTACTATGGAGCTCAATTCAAGGAGCATGGATCTGATTCGAGACCAAAGGCTTCTACAATATGAAATTAGGAATGTTTATCTACCAAGGGAAGGCCTCGAACGAAAGACGTAAAGCTAGTACGAAAGCTGCTTTTGGACTGTTTGCTGGCAGCTTACTTGTGCGTCAAGAAAAGAAGTTTATGGCCGAGTTTTGTACTGTTTTTAGAGTTTTTTTTACCTTAATTGTTTCCTAGTTACATTAGGTTTGTATTAGGTTTTTATTGCCTTTAAATAGCTTTCAAATTCACATTGTAAGATAGACTTTGATTAATCGAAAATTAAACCCTTTGGTTTTGTGCAAGTTGCGACTTGTTTGAGTTTGGTGGATTCCAAATTGGTGAGCTTTGTATCGATTGATTATTCTCTTCAATCATGGTCGAACATCTACCCTTTTATACCATACGAGTTTTCCCCAGGTGTGGAATTGTCCGTTGGTTCCGTTTTATCAAATTTTCGTATTAAGAACGCGTTGTTCTTGATTTGAGTTCAATCAATCTTCGGATTGATTGTTGCTGCGTGACTTTGATAAATATACACCCCCTAGGGGTGTATTAATTCGTAGGCTAAAACGACATCTTGCCGTTAGTCAAAATTGTGAAATGTGCTAAGGAGGAGGCTAAAAAAGTGGGGAACAAAAGCAGACAAGGGAACCAATGGTCAGAATGAAGCATACTCGTACCCCCAGGTATACGCGAGTGCCGCATTTTTTGCTTTTTATTTTTCTTGTAATTATTATCCGTGTTTTAATATGTTTATGTTGTGCTTTATAGCCAACGAAACTCATTTTGGTAGAAATTTTAAGCATTGTTATTTGAAGACAAAAAAAATTAGATAATTTTTTTAATAATTTAAATCCTAGCAGCGATAAAACACGAGAATCAGAATAACGACTACAACAGTCCCACTCCCCATTTTCATACACCATCTCATTTCTCATTATGAACACTTTCTCTATACACCTAGCCAAAAAACGTTTTCTCATCTTCTACTATTTCATCCCGAGCAAAAGAGGAGCCAATTGGTCCGAAGATGAAGACATAGCCTTATGTCAAGTTTGGTTCAAAATATCATGTAACAAGACATATGCTGACAGAACTACGGATCTAGGTGTGTGATTTAGGGATTGCAACGGATTAGGGATTGGGAATTTAGGTGAGAAAGAATTGAGAATTGGGTGGGAGAGAAGGCAGAGTCGGGTTCCCGTGGAGGGAAGGCGCCGACGGTAGAGAGGAGAGGGAGAGGATTCGGCCAAGGTGAGATAGAGAGAGAGAGTTTGGGAACAATTCTGTGTTATTGCTTGTCCTTGACCTAGCTTAACATGATATATATATATATATATATATATATATATATATATATGGTGGCGTCTTCGGTACACTCACTTTTTTTGGTGCATTCAGTGCACTCGCTTCATAACCGTCATTTTAAACATGCGATTTATGTCAAAATGATGTCAATCATCACTTATGATGTGATGAACAATAACGCACATGAATTTGCACAAAAACCATTAAGATTTACTTTAATTTGAAGGATTTAGAGTTTAGAGATTTAGGGTTAGGGTTAATAATTTGGGATTTAGGGATATAACTCAAAATTGGAGGTCTAGGGCTTAGGGCAATCCGCTAATTAGTTGTTATCATATGTTATATCATCATATTACACTACTTCTACAAATTAAAATTCAAAATCCGACACCTTAGGACTAGTTTTTGAGTTGGGTGCATTGAACACACTCATTTTTGTGAGTGCACCGAAGTAGTCACCATATATATATAACCTAATCGAATAAACCCTCATAATTCCCACCCTTACTCAATATCCGAATAAATAGAAAATGACAAATAAACCCCCAACGAAATATGTTTCTGACATATGCAATGAAAAAAGATTTCAAAATTTTTGGCAACAGATTGAGGGGACGTTCAAAATTGTCATTACACATTCTAATCTCTCGCAACAATCGAAGAAGTCACGATTCAAAATAATAGAACGAACATGTAGCACATGGAAGGGGATTGAGGAAGGGCAAAGAGCAAAGATTTAGTGCCAAACCAAAGATGATGTGGTAAGTCCTTTTATGTTATTAATATTTTTTTCTTGAAATCTTTATAATAAAATAAAGTTTTGTTTATAATGTATGTATATGGCCATGGCAAAGGAGATTTATGAGTTGAATAATGATAGTACTATCTTTGAAAATCAGAAGATGAAGTATGAACGAAGGAAGGAAGTGGACGATGGACAATGAGAAATTGCCCACCAGAACAAGAGGTAACAGTTGAATATGAGAGAACTAGAAGCAGCTTTGTTTGAAAATTGGCATAAGCAAGTGAGCTCCAAATAAGAGGAAGATGGTTAAGTGTCGACAATATGACTTCTATGTTAGGCATGCTAGTCATGATGATGGTGGAAGTGCCAATGTCATTGGTGGAGGTAGTGATGAGAACTGCCCTGGTAATAATGATACCGATTGCTCTTTGAATTTCAAATTTGCATTTGAGCTCCTAGCTTTGCATTTGATTATGGAGGTTATATTTGATTAACTAATTATTTCAACTGTCAAAAAATATCTTCAAAATTACTCAAATTTTATCGAAATATTCGTATCGAATTATCATAAACAAATCTAAAAAATTTAAATTGAAAAACATAAATTTAGCAATCTATAAGTTAGTATAAAACACTCAACATAAAATTATAGCTCCCAAATTGCATCAGTTTATATCTTCGAGCCTTTAGCCCTCTAGTTTTTAGTCTCCGAGTTGTAATTAGCCCTAGAGAAATTCAGATTCCTACTTAAGGACCTTCAAGAATTCTAAACGCGTTGCCGCGCCGTAGAGTGCAATGGCTAAACCGAAATCTATATGAGTTTGTCTTCTAATTTGAAAAATTGCACCCTGCAAACAATTCGACTACGGTTCCCATTGAAAACAATACTGCAATCATCACAAATCAATCAACTTCCAAGGCAGTAAATTTATGCCGTCCTTAAAGCCACCACCGAAAGTTATCAACCAACAACAGTTCACCTCAATTTCTTAAGCACAGAATGAAATTTAAACTAGAGAAGCATCTACTGCCTCGGGCGGTGGGCTCACACAAGTTCGCCATTGCCTTCATTCACCAATTTGCACTTCCAGACGTGCAATTCAGACTTCACCGTCCCACAACTCCTCGATGCTCCTGTAAGCGCCGTAGGTCTCATGCACGAATCCAGTTCCGCTCACAAGCCTTACCTGCAATGAAGACATCACCACACATATTAAGATAAGAGAAGATTAATGTGTACTGCTGAGAACACCAAAAGAAAAAGAAATAAGACTTGCCTGTTCAATTTCGGAGAATTTAGCGAATAAGTCGTCAGGGATAGACCAGCCGTGGACTTGAATGTTCTCCTTGATCCTTGTTTCATTTGTACTCTTTGGTAGTACACTATGACCCATTTGCAGGCCCCAACGTAGCGCCACCTGAGCACGAGTTTTCCCCAATTTCTCTGCAACCTCAGTCAGGATTGGATTGTTGAGGACATCCCCCTTGATCCATGTAGTTCCAGGAGATCCCAGTGGTGAATACCCCTGAAAGCAAGACACATATGCATGTGAAATGTCAATTGGCATCTCATGAACACGTTCTACATAATAAATCAACAGAGATGACTTACTGATAGGTGAACGTTCTTGGACTGACAAAATGCACGCAGTTTGGGCTGCTGCCATGCTGGATGGCACTCCACCTGATTCACAGCAGGAGGCACACGAGCCACCTCCAACAAATCTCCCAGCTTCTTCACAGAGAAGTTACTGACACCAATAGCACGAGCCTTGCCTGAAGCATAGAGTGCTTCCATTGCTCGCCAGGTGCTGGGGATATCCGGTGGAAGAAGGTTCTCCGATACAAACCCAACGGCACCTTTCTTCATTTTGACTGGCCAGTGAATCTGTGAAACATATAGTATTGTTCGATTTAATCTTCCGGCCTGCTTACTTTCAGCAGGAAACGAAAACATTGGTCTTTTATCATGCTATTCATCTTCACTAGTTACAACCATAAAAACGTGAAATGGAAAGTAAAGATGAGCCACAAGTCTATACTGTCAACAAAGTAACATTCAATGGCTGAAGCTCAGTTCTGTTCTACAGCAGAGAGGAATTTCTAATTTCCTGATGAGTGAGTGAGTGAGTAACACAGATTGAGCAAGGGATGAAACATGGTAGTGGTATAGTAGCAAGGGAATGAATCCACTGAAGGTTTTGCATAAACATCCACAGTCAAACAGTTGAAGACATAATCGAGCCAAGCAGGTACAAACTGCAAAAGAAGAATCGAAATGAGAAGAGAATCCAAAACATACAAGGTAGAGATCAACGTAATCAAGCTGAAGCTCTGCCAAAGTGGTTTCCAGTGCTCCTGGAACATCTTCTGGATCATGAGCGTTGCACCTGTTGCTCGTTCACAGTAAGATAACATTTTTCGTTTTATGAAAAACATGTCAGGTAATTAGATCAATCAAAGTAGAGGATTAACCAGAGCTTTGAGGTAATAAACAATTCCTCTCGCTTGACCACACCCTCCTCAAACAGCTTCTTGAAGACCTCGCCAATCTACATAAACAAAGTGGTTTATCGATCATCAGAGGAGTTCCTAAGTAGAGGGAATTTAGCATACACCACATCAGAGCACCTTTTAATCGCTCGAGCGCCGAGCAATCAACGGTGGTAAGGGGGTCAAACGAAGACTACAGTATTTACAGCGATCAACAACTAACCCTAGATAAGAAAATCGCGACAATGCAATGCAATGCAATGGATAGAATAACATGAAAGGCTTCTACCCCAGAAGATAAATAACACTTGAAATGCTTGACGGAATCAGAGGATGAGATGTAGCGTCGTACCTCCTTTTCGTTGTTATAAACTCGAGCACAATCGATATGGCGGTAGCCAACCTGCATTACAGAGAGGAAAGAAAATCAAAACAAAACAAAATTGATCAGGAATCGGAGCCACAATTTGAAATAATAGCTTTCCTCTGAGGTCGGAGTAGTATTGAATATTTGAATAGAGATCACCTTAATGGCGGCCTCGACGGCGGCTCCGACGAGGCCAGGTTCAGCCTGCCAAGTGCCGAGGCCCACCGACGGCATCTTAGCTCCGGTGTTCAATTCGAAGAATCCGATCTCCTTCGCCATTTCGCTTCCACCGAAAGCTGAGTAGCAGTTGATTTGCTTTGCTTTTGCTTTGGGAGAATTGCAGGCTGGACTCGGTGTTGAGTGTGAGTGAGACTAGAGAAGAAAGCGCCGCGAGGTCCTATTTATTTAGCCGTGATTTGCGGCAGTGGTCCCCAACTTCCTACCGACTATATAATAACTTGAAAAGGACCCATAACCGACGCTCCCACTTCCTGAAGATGATATATATGCGGTGGGGGGATAGGACACGCGCAGAATCATCGTCACCGCACCGCAATTTGCTATCCATGCACAACGTGTTATTTTTTTTTTATATATATATATATATATATATAAATGCACAACGTGTTTTTATTTGTGAAAAGGTTGGTAAACCTACTTTATATGGCTTGAACCCGACCAATCCATCAATTTTTCATTCCCTAACACCAAAAGAGTATCGTCTACAAATATCATGATCCTAATAAATAAGAAATTATTGTTTCAGTCCAAACAATCTCTAAGTTAGTGGTTACCTCAATAATCTCAACGAATCTATCTCTTCCAATCTAGTCCTGAGATTTTAATCCGGCTGAGTTCATATCACATGTAAAGAGTCTGAATTCTATACATTCTTAATCGATTGCTTGTGATTGACAAATAATTTGTCCGCTAATCTAAGTCTTAATCTAAGCCTTGCTTGTATTGTCGTCAATCATTTTTTCGTCTTTACTCCCACCTACCATATGTATACCTCCCTCTCTGATGAAACAACCGCTCGTTGTCATTAGCTTTCATTTATTCATTCGTGAATGTTTTTCAAATTTTCCCAAGTTTATATTTTTGTGCTCTAAAGTAGGAGCACCAACCTATATCCCTCGAATTGTGTGGCTTAAGAATTACTTAATTTTAGAGAATGAGTAAATAATTTAATAGAGATGAAAAAAAATTCACATAGCTATTCACATTTATATAAATAAGTCTTTACCCGTTCCTAACATCAAAGTAAAAGAGATTCAATAAATGCACTTATTACTCAAATTTGGCTACATAATGAAATACTAAAATTCAACCAACAACCACTAATATCCAAAGATTGTGAAATCGTACATGACGTTATGCGAAAAAATCTATGGTAGGGTATTTTGTACTAACATCTTGGTTTAATCGTAGTTCAAACATTTCCTACTGCTAAAATCACCTACCAGTTTGGGTAAAGTATCTGGTATTTCCAGTCCGATCGAACAATACGATAGAGTTTCTAAAACATTGATAATAGCATAAATAATAAGTTTACTTCTTGTTAGACCCAATTAGCAAAAGTATGAACAGATCAGTACTTTAATAAACCAAGTTCGCAAAAATCCTAATTGCTCACTCCTAACCCTAACCAGTCAAATAAGACCCAACATGCACTTAGATCCGGGAAGGGCGCGCTCAATTTAGGGGTAGTCTTGCTAACTTTAACACTCTCATTAACTGTGTCTGGCTCGTTAGTTAATGCTAATGATACATATGTCCACACCAGAGAGAAGTAGCTACTGAACCGCGGGGCCACACGTCAGTCTGGCTCGTCAGACTGATGCTTAGACATATTAAGTAATAATGAACATTGGGACCACTTAAAAGGACAAACAAAGTGCCATAAGCAGATAATTCCTAAATCAAAGCGCTTAGAGCGCGCCCGTACACCCAATATGCTCGGACATAACATTAATGATGTTTAAACTGATTTTCCTAGTACAAATAGTAGCACCATCTCTAGAGAGGGCATAAATTAATACATATTTTCTCGAAACAATCAACTTAAAATGATTTCTTAAGAGCCCGCTGACCTCATACGCTTCAAACCCCTCTTTCGCTCTCTTCCGATTTTCCTTATATCTTTTTTTATATTTTCCCTTCTTAATTTTCATCATCCATTACCAAACACCAAACCATTCACCTACTCCCTCTAATCCAAACCATCTCGAACCCACACAGGTCGAGATCAATTGTGGTGACTTGTAACTCTCAACAAACTATCAACACAGTCAAACATTATTAAGCACTTCTAAATCACATTAATATACTCCTTGGTCGAATGAGTTTCGTTTTATCATTTACATTGGTTAATTTATAATGATATTTTATTCGACCAGTTGGTCGATAGAAATTCGTTTTTATTTTGTATTATTTAGATTTATCAATTTATTTATGTATTAAATGCAATGTGATTTTTTGTATAGTTTTTGCTTGATTGGAAAGTAATATTATGTTACTTGTTCTTCTTGTTACTGGTAATGAGTGTCCTTACAATTTTCATATTTTAGAAGAGACTTTCGCGTTACCACAAAATATAAACGGTTCAAAAGGTATTTATTCATAACATTTGATCTCGTTAGCTTGATATATGTTTCTAACATATTATAACTTCAAATACATTAGTTATTGACCCCAAATTAAAGTAATAAAATATAAATATGAAAGTATCAAAGACCTAAGAAATTTCTAGCAGTTAATTAAAAAAACTACAACAAATACTATAATCTACGTAGTCAATAGTTGTGTACAAACCCAAATTTACTTTTGATTACACGGACAATCTTAGAAAGTGAAATAACCCAAATCAACAATGGTACTTCCTCTGTCTAATTAAATAAAACTTAAATTGTGTAATATTTTCAAAATAAAAGAGCCATAACAATTCAAAACTGACATTGTTAAAATCTCATGAGTTTCTTTTTCCCAAAGTCAGTATACAGTAAGTAAGATTAATGTTCTGTGACAAAGAATGTGACATAAACTCTTTTTTTAGAAGTGTGGGCTTGTGTTGTTGTGCAGCAATAGAGCTTAAGTAGCATGGTGTTGTAGACGGACCACTATATCAGTTGTTGCGACAAACATCACAACTGGAAATAAGAGAATTGAGCCATAAGAGAAAAAAGAAGCAATAGAGGATTTGGTATAAATTGAGGTAATACCTCAATTAGGAATTAAACGAAGGTTAAATGCTTGATTAGCGGACTAAACCGGTGGAACCTAGTGATCTTAAGAAAAAATCAATGATCACATGATTTCTTGGTCCAAACTACTAAAGGGGGCAAAAAGTAAAGAAAAGAAAAATAATCTTCAAAGAGACCGTACAGTAGCATAAGCACTCAACAAATTATTAATAAGAACTAATGACAGAAGGAAAATGCAAACTCAAACCGTGACAAAGGAAAATGCAAACTCAAACCTTTCATCCGAAGGTCATAGATTATATCAATAGTTGTCGATGATTACATGGTCTAAACTGCAAGTTATAACCCCAAAAAGAGGCAATTTAGAAACAAAAAGTTACGCAAGAAAGCCATGAAACACAGTAAGATTGAGTGTACAAAATGAGCAATACTTGTAAAATCATATCATTAAGTACTCCCTCCCATCATTGCTTTTCAATTTAATTGACTTGCTGACATTGGAAACCAAAAAAAAGCTTGAAAAGTGGCTATAAAAGTTTTATCTTGAGGTTCAAATATAGCTAGTAGCCATTATTCCATTTCACACATGCCATCTCACAACCAACTGCTGCCAATGATCTGGTTATCAGTTCCAAACCTCACCTGCTCATATCGCCAATACCATATCAGGACACCAAGAATTATACACAACTGAAAGATCCAATAAAGAGAGTAACTTAGCATGGAACTTTGTTGCTTTTAAATTAAGTAACCAGTTGAAGAATATTGAAAAATGAATTCAAACCCCCAAGAAACTAAACACTATCACCTTTGTTAGTTTGGAAGCCAACTAATTCCACCTCCTGCTGGCTCAAACTAAGATGGATATACAGTGTTACCAATGATTATTAATCTTTCTGCATTCATGAAGATTGTCGATCATCCAAAGTGGTAGCCCAATATGGGTTCATACTAAATATGCAGAAAATACCAGAAGGTAGAAATGGGAGTGGAGGTGGTCAAGGAATCAAGAGGCAGCCTGTTCTAACATGGATTACTTGTGGTAAGTGAGGTTTAGAGAGCTCATAACTTAGTTTACATCAGTTCTGAGTCCTGCAATTTTGCAAGGGCAATAAAACTATTCCCACATGTATAACGACATACTTTAGTCTTAGTTACACGACCTTGGTAGTTGTCTCAATGCTCTTAAAAGATATATACTTCACAAATCATGACTCTATTGAGTTCAGAGCATGCAAAATAAAAAAAAATCTACTATTGGAACACAATTCTGTACTCCAAATCTCAAACTAATCATAATAGAAGAGCAAGAAGAGGACCAACCTGTGAACTGAAGGGCAACTGTACCAAGAGTGAAATTGGAGGGAAACTGAAACAAAATAACACCATGAAAGAAACAGAAGCATACAGATATTCTAATCAATCAGCAGCTGACAATCCTTCGTAGCTATGCAAATGCATCGCTTCATTGTCGGCATGGTGTTGCAGCTGTGAAACCATGGAGAGATATGAAAAACTAAACACTTTCATCATGAAAAACGAAACATTCATAAACTAAACCCATAAAAGAACCAAAGAATAAATACAAACATAGGGTAGAAACTCACTATCCAGTTTCCAGTCAATCAACCGGTGGAAAACCCTTCTTCCCTAGGCAAGCTCTTCACTTCACCGCCAACGTGGTGTTGCGATTATCGAATCCAGGGCGAGAGGTGAAAAATGAAACACTACAGTCGTGAAAACTTAAACCGAAGAAGAACCAAAGAATAAAAACTACCAGAGTCTAGAAACCCACGGTCCAGTCAATCAACCGGTGGACAACCCTTCTTCCCTAGGCAAGCTCGTCGCCTCGGTGCCAGAGTGGTGTTGTGGATGGTGATCACCAAGAGAGAGAGAGACAGAATCGGAGCTGGTTTTGGAGAAGAGCATAACTAAGGTGGAGAAAGAACGATCAATCTAGAAGCATTTTCCTTCTTCCTCTTCTTCTCCTCGTTCTTCTTCTTCATCTTCTTTGTGCATAGGCGATGGGAGAGGAAGAGTTTCATGGTGAGGAGATATTTCTAATGCAGCGGGATGAAATCCACAACAGTGGCCTTACTCAATGTTAATCAATTCATATACTAATAGGGATTGAGAGAGACTTACAACACGTTAAAGGGAAATTGGTTGAAGTTCCATTGCTTGGATGTTATAGTCAGTGTGAACTCTTCTTCTTTTATGGACCTGCAAAATCAATAGCAAATGTTACAAAAGTTGAATGTCACAATCAAATCTTCTTACTTTTATCCTAGCATAAATTATAATAAATAAAATGAACTTCCATCCAGCAAAACCTATTG